GTTGGGCACGTGCTGGTCAGCATACTTCACATTGACCATATAGACACCAGGCTCGGTGGGATAGAAGGCAACAGTACAGGTACCGTCATTGTTGTCAACACACTCAATCTCTGCTTTGCTGGGTCCCTCGATGGAAAGACTAAGGGTGGCGAAGCCTAGGAAAATGAGGCAGGAAATGGACGTTCGTTTTCATCACCATTTAAGACCACATGTGAGAAAAGTGTATATATGGGAGGAATGCATGCAAGCCACATCTATCAATGATGAAACCCAGCTATCACAGGATTGATCAAAATACTGCTTAGTTCAATGTCCGAAAGTTGTTAACGTAAGGTAGAGGGAATCCACTGGTTCCTAGCAGTTTAGTGTTCACGACAATGGGTCACTAGAATCAATTATAGAACGGGGATTAAGGTTAGAATATGCGAATGGGGACGGGAGCAGCATACATACCTGCGTCTTTGCTATCGACAATAAATTCATTCCTCTGATTGGCCATAATTGGCACATTCTGCGGCCAAATCACCTTGACCTTGCTTGGATCACCGACGTCTTCAGGAGATACGTTGAGTCGGAAGGGACTCTTTGGAATATGCTGTCCCGCCTTGAAGACATTGACAAAATGTTCTCCATATTCCCTCGGTGTGAAGGAAATGCCTTTGGGAGAATAAAGAGATAGTATACGGTAAACTTTGGCCAAACTGAGTTGGGAGGGACAGCACAAAATTATCGCGAAATAAGAGCCTGTTCTCCAATTTACAATTAGGGAGGGTTACTCAGAGGGAAGAATCTAAAAAGAGGTCACACGACCTTAAGTATGCGGCTTAGGCAGACTACGGAGCAGGTAGACTAGTGTGCACTGCTGGAGGCAAACTGGATGAAAAATACTTTGAGGAGAGGGCACCAGGATGGAGAAAAGGAGGAAGATACCGATAAGCTAGTGGTGGTGCTGGGAAAGAAGAGTTCTTCTTCTAGGATCACGAAGGTGGACAAGTAATGGCATCAAAAAATACATACAGTTAGAGAGGTAAAGGCCGGAGAGTGTGAAATGTCGTAACAATGACAGCCGATAGGTTCCACCGCTCTCCGCGTGTTACAATGCACTAGACAGCGATACACTTAACATAACAGTTGCGAATTGCCACTGAAAGTTTTATTAGACCAGCATCAACCATGAATTTTGATTAAGTCCGCTTCCACTAGTAAGTTTAGGATGAGGGTCAAATTACCTACCTGTAACATACTATTTTGCGCAGTTGGCAGTTCTAAATATTTTTTTTTCTAAACAACTATTTACTACTTTATTTAGCCTTATTTGCAGTCGGTTGATGGCTGCCTTGGGGCTTTGCTTGCGCAGAATGTGCGGTTTTATTTCTACAGGCGTTTTGGAGTTCATTTTGTACATCTAATGAATCTCTGTGCATATTTTGTAGGTCCCAGGCGCTGCTAATAAATATGCCCGAAGTTGAGCTTTTATCAAAAACAGCGATAACGTCCAGATAATCGACATCGCCAGTAAAAAGTTGAAACGAGGGTAAACAGGACCTAGCCGTAACAGTCTTAAGTGTGCAGGATCAAATTGTTACATGTTTGCACCTTGACTACGGCGTGCCCTGTTATTGGTTGTTAACTAATAAACACACAGTGCGTGTGTGCCAAAAGGTATGCGACCTCAACTGCAACTAAAATATACGCTGCAACATATGCAGAAGTACTCAAGTGCTGCGATGCACTGATAAAAACTAAAGCGTACTAGCCGATAGCTTCCGAAACAGTTGAATGGTTGCTTTGAAAAATGAATCCTTCCAGCCATTTGTGCCAAACGTGCGCAAAAACCTACTGAATTACCGAACTTTCCCGCCGAGGGCCTACGATAGTGTATTGTCACTTGTTTCTGCGATGCGAGTAACAAAACGCCTTCTATAAGATGCCGCGCTTTTGATATTTGCAGTCTAAAGGTGTAGAACCTTCATGTTATAGAATGTCCACGAATTCATAGATGTCTTGTCATGACGTGCGTTTCCCACGTTTTTTAGACCATGCGGGACGGCAAGTTGGCATGTCGAAATTACGTTCGCCTTTTATGGTCACCGACGCGATAATCAGTTAATGTGCGAAAACATATTGGGGTAGTTCCGACGCTTGATAAACGGACAACGGATTCCAACGGTCGATTCCACCGATTTTGTTCCGAGTGCTCCAACACTCAGTCACGACAGATACGAATCTCAGCTACACGAACAATCGATGCATAGCTGACTCGTAAGACGACTCCACCGTAGTCTGCCACTAAAAAGGTTCCGAATTGCTACATTAACGGACTGTGCTAAAGGAGTCGGTTACAGTCAGAGATTGTTTACTAGCCATTAAGATTCTAATCCTTGAAGGAAGAGTGAAAACGAAATGGCCGAAAAACTGACTAGATAAGCTAACAATATGCCCATCCGTCCTGTAAACAATACTTAACCCCGTATCAATATCAATATTATCAGAATAAAATAATACTGCTCAAGGAACAAGCGGTCAGAACTATTCTGAAACACCTGATAGTGTTATGGGATTGATTTGTTATCCTATTCTACGATAATAATCCTCACATTTCAAACTTAGCAATGCCGGTCAGGGTTCGATGACGGTAGATGTTTAAAGTAAGGACAGACGAGACTAGAAGGACTTATGCGTGACTTTAGTTA